TGTAGGCTCATAGATCTATTTCCCCATCCTCATATAATATATTTGCATATGTACATGCCTTTATCTAGAGCTCTATAAATGCCCTTTTTCTCCTCATTCCATTTCTTTCTTCAGAGCTTTCCCTGTCTCTGTCTTTCCTCATTCTCCAAGGTTCTGTCCACTTTGCTCTGCCTGCTCTGTTCTGCTCCTTCCTACCTTTTAGATTCCCCATCTCTGCTCCTCAAACACTCAGTTCTATCTAGTCTGTGGGGCCAGACAGGAAACTCTCCTCCCTCCAAGGATCCATTTCAGGCAAATCTCCTTTTGATTTCAGCAATGCGCTTAAGCCATGAGACTTGAATACATTTCTGGATCACCAATGACCTCCCTTGCCACCCCACCCGCTCCCAAGCATGTTATCTTCAGGCCAAAAATGATTTCAAAGCATAAGCTCTTCTTAGATCGTATGTAACAATACCAAGATACTAATGCCAGGCGCACGGAACTCTGGTGGAGGTGTAGCGGGTGCATTTGAATGCTAACTGCAAGGTTGGGATTCAAACTCATCAACTTCTCCACACAAACAAAAAAGTCCTAGAAGCCTTATATAGAATGGCTATAAATGGAAATAGACTAGATGGCTATGGTTGGGAATACCAGGCAAGCATGCACATACACACACACACACACACACACACACACAGAAACACACATACACAAACACACAGAAATACACACACACACACATAAATGCCATATTTTGATAAAACACCTTCATTATAATTAAAGCGCTTCATATGTATAATAAATTTAATTACTGGTATTGATAGCATAGTGTGTTCAATCAATATTTAAAACATGGATTAAATTGGGATTTTGAATCAGAATGTGACCCAGATGATCAAACTTTCATTACTCAAAATATGTCTTTTTCAGGCCAGATAGACAGGGGAATTGTTACATATAAGGGGGGATTTCAGGTCGTTTTCAAAACTCTGCAGTCCTAAGATGTCAGAAGAGTGCGAGGAGAAGATGACATAGAATAAACGGAACAAACAGGCTGTCCTTCCGTCAAAGGACATGTCTATGTGCCAGGCTGACGGAGTGGGCTAGAACAAAGTGCCCTGTGAACACAGAGAGAGCTCACTTGCTGGAACCACCTGGGGACTGAGCCTTTAATGGTTAGAAATGCATTCCCATGCCATTTCCTGATTCAATTATAATAAGTTATGTTTCACCCCTGAGTTAGCTTGCATTGTAACTTAATAATCACAATGCCGCTTTAGGCATAATTACTTCCGTTGTTTAATTTAAAGCTCCAAGAATACCTGCTGAAAACCAGATGAATCAATGTAAGATTTTTAGGTATAAGAATGCATACTTGGAGTGTTTAAATCTGTATGTTATAGTCATCAGAATAAAATACAGAGATATGACAAATGAGATTACTCTATAAACATGTCAATAACTTGGAAAGTAATACTTCCAAAAGTTAAAAAGGAAATCATCCACAATCAACACACAGTGGAAAACTAATAAAGATATAGTGATAAGTACTAAAAAATATTCACTGCCATTGACTCGATTCCCACTCAGTAATGAGGCTAAATCTAAGAACCATTGTCTTTTTTTCTTCAGTTAATAGTTCTTTAAAGTGAAAATGACTGTCTCAAATTCGATTTTGAGATGGCATGGCTAGACCAGGAAAATATTATGCTGATGGGAGTTAGACAATCATAAAGGGACAGGTGCTGTATGATGCCAGTATTAAAAATTAAAAACAAATATTTTCATCCAAATGAAACAAACTTCATGGTCATGGCACACAGGTAGGGTGGGGAGGGAAGACAGGGCAAAAGGCTAGGGGGTAGGTAGGTGGGGAAGACAGGGCAAAAGGCTAGGGGGTAGGTAGGTGTGCACTTGGGGGAAGAGGAAGATAGTATTCAATAAGAGGAGGAAGAGAAATTTCAGGGGAACATTATGGCACGCACGGAGGTGTGATAAGTAGCTGAAGTATTGAATACAAACTTGATGAGCTGAAATGTAAATATCCACCTTATTCAAAGTAAAAGATAAAAAATTTATATTAGTAATTGAATACATAGTGCCAGGCCATTCTGGATCTAAAATGAGAATATTGACCTTTGCTTTCCACAAAAATAAAAATGTTTTAAAAACAATGAGCTTGAATATTATTAAGGGAATGGACATTTTGAATCAAAGTTTGGTCACTGTAGTTGATGTGTGGCTAAGACAGACTGAAATAAAAGAAGTTTGTAACCATCTCAGAGAGGGGAGTCCTGCAGAAGGTTCAAAGGTCATCATTACCCCAGTTCCTGGTCCATCAATGGCACCTTGGCATGACAGAGCAAACATGTGCTACTTCTTTTCTGACACCTACATGAGTAGTGGGGCTGAAGCCCTAGTTTATCTACATGAGTAGGAGGTGTATGTAAATGGTTTATCTATATGAGTAGTGGGGGCTGAAGAGATACGAACCTTGGCTAACAATTACAGGCTGCTGATCGCATGTCTGACTACCTGTTGGTTTGGGAAATCCAGTGGGAAAACTTGCACTGCACTGTGTGCAATGGAATCTATCGCTTCTAGAATAGAGAGCCAGGTAGGGAGATCTGTAGGGTCCTGTCCTGATATAAAAGAGGAGACACTTGGAGAAGTGTTGCATTGCATTCTGACAGCTTTTAAGGCAGGACAACGACTCTTGATGGAACTCTTACTGTTGTTGTCAAGCCTGTTCTCTGTGAGTTTAAATCAACATGGTTGTCACAAATGTCAACACCAAGTACATGTATGTATGCCTTGAGCAGAATAAATATGCGGCACCCATTTATTTCATACACACACACACACACAATCATAGATACATACTATTGAGTCCATATAAGTCAATTCAATTCAATTCAATGTCAGTGATATATATATATATATATCCTAAATATATTATATAATGTGTATCTTAAATATTACACACAGGAAACCACTTATATATGTATATACAACTTTAACATTGACAAATTAATTTTAACCAAAATGCTTTGCTACGGTCCATAAATTATTTTCACATTGTCCAACCTATAGAAAGGCACTGACAACCACTGAGAAGAAGAGTTTATGTCCATTGAATAACACTGTCTTTTATCCCTGCCAAATCTACTGTTGTGAAATCAATTCAATTTATAGTGAACTTTTAGGACGGAGGAGAATAGACACATAAGACCGGCAAGGCTGTAAATCTTCACTGAACCATCTTGCCACACGTTTCCCCCAAGGAAAGGCTGAGTGGCTCCAATACTGATGTTTGGTTAGCAGGGGAACACTTTGAACACTTGCCACCAGGCATCCTCACTACATGTTACTGATGGTTAAGTGTATTTTGTGAAATATGTCATCTACTTGTCAAGACAACCATAAAAACAAGCAGAAGAAATCAGCACTATATTTATTCCCACTTTACATATGAGGAAACTGAAGGTCATGCAATCCTCAATGATTTGGCTAGGCCCCATGATTTTTCCCACCAAATGTGAGCATGAATTGCATGTCATTAGATAAAGTTCCAGGAAAAAACATCCTTGGAGTTGTCTTATACAGCTTATATCAGCCGTTCTCAACCTGTGGGTCGCGACCCCTTTGGAGGTCGAACAACCCTTTCACAGGGGTCACCCAATTCATAACAGCAGCAAAATTACAGTTATGAAGTAGCAACGATGATAATTTTACGGTTGTGGGGGGGGGTCACCACAACATGAGGAACTATATGCACGGGTCGCGGCATTAGGAAGGTTGAGAACCACTGGCTTCTATGTCGTGCGTAACACAAAATGTTTACATCTGACAGCTCATGTAAAGGATGGCAGCTTGGACCTACCCAGGAGGCTCAGGCAGGAAGTGCCGGTGATGTTTCTATACATGATAGCCAGGAAAACCTATGGATCAGTTCCATTCTGAAATGCATGGGATTGCCATTAGTAGGAATTCACCGAGCAGCAGAGCTTTGCTGTTGTTGAATTCTTTTATCCACATAAAGTGGTGGGTGATGTTGGCTGCCACAGAGTCGGTCTGACCCGTGGAGGCCCTGTGAACAAGTAACCACCCACTGCACAGTGCTGGCCCAGTCCTCAACTGTTCCCATGCAGGAGCCCATTGAGCAGTCAGGGTCTTCTTTTACACTGCCCATCCACTTTACCAAGCATGATGTCCTCCTCCAGGGACTGGTCTCTCCTGACAGTGTGTCTCAAGTGTGTAAGAATCCTTGCCATCCTTTCCTCTAAGGAGCACTCTGGCCTTGCCTCACCCCATACAGATCCATTTGTCTTCTTAGCTGTCCATCATACTTTCAATATTCTTCTCCAGCCCCACAGTTTAAATGCATCTATTCTTTTATGGTCTTCTTTATTCAATGTCCAACTTCCACATGTGTCTTTTTTTTTCTTCCCACGTGTGTCTTATACAATGGAAAATACCATGGCTTGGGCCCAGTAAACCTTAGTCCTCAAATATTTTTACAGCTGTTTTATTTACTTTGAATTTTTCCCCATCATTAAATAAAGACACCTAAGGCCCCAATCACACAGGCTTTACCAAACTCATGTCACAATGGTCGAATTCCCTCCAAGAAATCATCTTCACTTCAATCACATTTCGAGTGCCCTTGGACTTAAGGGGCCCATCTTGTGACAGTATCTCCAGCGATGTTCTGTTTCCTTTATTAGATTGTCAGTATTTGAAAATGCTTTGAAGCTATGTGACTTCTTCCTTCCAAGTAAGGAGCTAAGTCCTTCTTTGTTGTCTGTTCTCAGTCTGGAAGCTCCACTGACATCTACTCACTGTGGGTGACCCTGCTGGCATCTGAAATACCAGTGACATAGGTCCAGCATCACAGCAACACACAGATCACCACAGTACAACAAACTGATAGACAAGTGGTAGACATAATGCGGGGGTTTAGAAAAGATCCTGGGAAGAATACAAAAATTAATATCCCCTTTTAGAAAAAGTGAGACTATCAAGCAATTTGAAACAAAGTATATTGCTTCCAGCAAATTTCAAATTAATAATCATTTTGTAATCTCATGAATTAACTCACACAGAAATGTAAAGTCAGCATTTAGTTTAAATGTGTGGTCAATTAATTAATATAATAACCCTATCTAGACTCATATTGAGGCATGATTTATTAAGTTGTAGGCAAGGTGATATTATGAAACATGATGCATGTCACTTTTTATTGTCAGAGTAGGCAATAAGAAATCATAAGAAAGAACAATAAAATATGGTATTACTAAGCTACAGAGTCTGACTTTTTAAATAAAATACTGAAAATTTGTAAGATGAAGGATTGTTAAATATAAAGGTTATTTTGATGCTTTTGTTTATTTTATTTCAGCAAATGTTTATTGAAATTGGATTGAATAGAAAAAAAAGCAACTCTAAGTTTATCAGGTTCTTGAAAGAAGTCATGTCACATACCTGCGGATGTATATTTGTGTGTCTATTCAAGTTATTTTCTCGAGTACAATCACCCAAAAGCCTGAGATCCAATCTTCCCCATTAACACGTGTATCTTAATGTGACTCTGATATGGCTAAAGAAGAGCTATGTATGCGTGAAGGAAAATAGTTATGTATACTTGAATATTAGACACAGTAGAAGTAGTCCATAGGATTTTCAAGGCTGTAACCTTTAATGGAACCAATTGTCAGGCTTTCTTCCATGGGTCAATTGATAGGTTAGAAGCACCAGCCTTTTGTTTAGCAGGCAAGTGATTAATCAGCATAGGATCAGGGGAATATAAACACGCATCCCTTGCTATCGAGGCAACGATACCTCATAGCAACCTTATGTGACACAGAAGAATTTCCCATAGAGCTCCATGCTATAATATTGACTGAAGCTGCCTGCCACATCTTTTTCCAACAAAACCTCTTATCTTTCTGTTAGCGAGGATCTAGCACTTACCCATTGGACTGTGTTCCGTTTTTCTACGGCCACCAAGGCAAGTCCTTCTGGGGGTGAGCCTCTAGAGCAGCGGTTCTCAACCTGTGGGGAACGACCCCTATGGGGGTCGAACACCCCTTTCACAGGGGTCGCCCGATTCATCACAGTAGCAAAATTACAGTTATGAAGTAGCAAGGAAAATAATTTTATGGTTGGGGGTCACCACAACATGAGGAACTGTATTAAAGGGTCGCGGCATTAGGGAGGTTGAGAACCACTGCTCTATAGGGTTTCTGAGACTGTAAATCTCTATGGAAGTGGGCAGCCTCTCTTTCTTCAATAGATCAGCTGCTGCGTTTAAACTGCTCACTGCAGTTGGCAGACAAATATCTAACGCCCATCCCCACCAAGGCTCTTGGTGGTGTTTCCAAAACAAACCAAACTCACTTCCATTGGTCAAATCTGACTCAGCATCCCCACAGGGCAGAGCAAAATTGCCCCTGTGGGTTTCCAAGACTGTAAGTCTTCACAGGAGCTGAGCCTCATCTTTCTCACAAGGAGCTGCTGCTGGTGGTTCCCAACTGTGGACCTTGTTTGGACTCAGCAGTCTGACACATAACCCATGACCCCACCCCTCCCCCGCCTCCAGGCCCCTAGTGTAGCCAGGTGCTAAACTGCAGCCTCCAGGACTCCTTGAGTAGCATCTAACTATCAGCAATATAAAGGATACACTTAAGACTACCCAAATACCTTTAACATGATCTAAAACCAGTGATTAATATCAAGGGACATTCAAAACCATACGTCTAAAAGGATAATGGAGTGTGTGAACCAAAGCTCCCACTATCCCGAGGCCAGACCCCCTGACTGCGCTACTTTGTACCGCAATAGATGGTCCTGAATGGAGTGGAGGAGGGCAACCAATGTAGAACAAGACCAAAGGAAAGCCACACCTCAGTTAGTTTACTCCCCAAACTTCCCTTTCTCTGTGCCACATGGACTGTCACTGCTAGAAATGCTTCTATCTTCTTATAAAGATTCCAATTAGGTAGAACATTGAATTAAATGTTAATTCCTATCTGTAACACTTCTAGAATAATTAGATTTTTATTCAAAGCTTATTAAAGCATTTAAGATTCTGCACAAGAAAGAGATTTTTAAATTCTCTAAAATTAAAGAGTCTCTGATAAAGGAAATCACCCAAGAACATATGAGGATGAATAACCAAATTCAATGAACTTTTATTCAAATTATTCCTAATCAGGTACTGTGTGTCAAGTACTGTTCTGAGCCCGAGAGGATACACAGACAATAAATGATTCCCAATCATCACAATTCTCAGTCGTCATTGCAGGTCTTGCTCTTGTAACAGGGAAATCCCTGCAATCCACTTCCAACTGTCTTCGCCTCCTGTGCTTAAGTCACTCCCTAATTCCTTTACCAAAGTTTACCTTTCACTTGTCATTTGAAATTCATGATTCAGGAAGGAACACTTCCATCAGCTTTCCTTGATTCAAAACAGTTACAATTGATGTAGCTCCATAGGCCCATGGGTAATCGCCTACACACTATATTGCTATTAATGATTTGTCTGTGATACCACTTATTGGTGATCATCCCTACCCAGTAGGAACAATTTGCTACTTGTTAAGGTGTGGGGGGTTTTGGGGGTTTGTTAATATTCAGATCATCATATCACCAAAGCTCAAAAATGCTGAATGTATCTAGTGGCCCCAAAATAAACTTTCCAAGTAAAAGCAGTCAACACTGGAATCTTCCTCTAAACTGACCTCTTTTCCATCTTCATTCCCTCCTGTCAGATGAAGTCCAATGAAAATAGGCAGAAGTAGCTGAAGATTAAACTAGAAAAATGAAATTTTAGAATAATCAAAGATGTTTAAAATTAAATCTTAGAAATATTGGAATGGAAGTATGAGTTCTATGTTTTTTCTGTGCTGTCTACTCAGTGCTGACTCATAGCAACCCTTTTGAGCAGAGTAGAATTGTCTCATAGAGTTTCCTCGGCTAAGCTGTTGATGGGACTAGATCATAAGGTCTTCCTCTCATAAAGTCACTGGTGGATTTGAATCGCCGACCTGGTAATTAGCTGCCAACCTCTTCAAGCACTGAAATCCTAGGGCTCCTCGTGAGTTGTATAGAAACCAAACCCACTTGCTAGCAGGTCAGTTTTGACTCCGATGGACACTACAGGAGAGTGTAGCAGTCTTCCAGATGATTTGCAAGAAGGAACCTATCATATTTTTGCCCCACAAAGCAGCTGGCAGGTGAGAAACACCAAGCTTTTCGGTTCCTTTGGAGTTGTGTACATTATTGTTGTTGTGCACTCTCAAATAGGCTCTGACTGAGCCACTCTACAGCACCGACGGGATTTGACCCAGAGGGAACAGATGTCTCCCCAAAGAGCTGCTGGTTGGTGTGAACCAGCCACCATCTTTCAGTTAGCAGTCTAGTGCTTGCGAGGGTAAGCACTTACTTGCCTTAGCATTACTTTCAGGTAAATATTTTAATATCCAAATGAATTACATTTTCTCAATAAAAAATAAGACACATATTAAAAATAATAGTCATAGGAGTCACTACCTTGGCAGACTGGTGGCGCCCCATCCATTTGCAGGCGTTCCCCTAATCTGCAGGTCAGAATTGCATTACCCACCAAGGTAAATCCTGGGAGACACTGATATCGAATAATGTCACCTATTAGGCAAAACAGAGAAAGGGAGGTTTCAAAGTAATCAGTAAACATGTTAAAATGAACAGATATTTCCATTGTAGTCACACAATGTTTTCCTTTTTAATTGGTATTTTCTTTATAATTCTCAACTTTTAATATAATAATGTAATAGCAAGAATAGTGTTAATTGTATGGCAACATTAAAATATCTTTTTTATTATAATATTTTCAAACTATGAGACACTATCTGCATTACATTTCTATCCTAGTTTTAATAGAGCTTTATTTTATATCATAGTGTGCAAAATCAACCAACCTTTTCCAGGATATGGAAATGAAGCCTTTTTTATAAAACTCTCTATATAATTTATTCATACATAATGTTCAATACATAGAACTATAAGGCTAGAAACAGTAAAACAATAATTTGGGAAGACCCACTAGAATACACAGTAGAGTACATACTGTTGCACTATTTTCTAATTGCATATCACAGAAAAAAAGAAATAATTTTTCTTGACTGTATTTCCTTTTTCTTCTTTGACTACTATACATCATTAAGAATTATAAAACACTCCTATGAACTCAGAAGAATATCTTAAAGCAAATTTATACTATTCTTCACTTTATTTCTTATTAAGTAAAACTTTTTATTAATAGTATGTTTCTTTGAGAGTGATTTAGTAGACTGTACCTATTTCAAATTCATCATCTTCTGTCAAAATTTCAGCATTTGGTACAGGTGGTGGAGGTTGGCACACTCTTAGCTGATAAGCTGTAAAAAAACAAAAACAAAAAACCCCCTGTGTTATGCATTTCCAGAGCAATTATACATGCTCAGAAATATTTAAAAATGCAATCTTTTTATTTATAGGAATATAAGGTAATGATGGGATTTATCAAATTTTGATTATTTTATGTTTATTTAAAATATAATAATATTGAGAGAGAAAAATCATCATTCCTAATATGACAACCACTCTTCTCCTTAGTTCTCATTTCCTATCCTCATTCAAGTGTTTCTTGCCATGTATGTCATTACACCTCTATTCCTTCTCAGTGTGACCACAAGTCAGAATTACACATTTATATACAATTATCCTTTATTGGCTCAATACCTATCATTCTCACTTCACTTGGGATATATATAGATAGATAGATAGATAGATAGATAGATAGATAGATAGATAGATAGATAGATAGATAATGATGTTTCCACGCTGGAAGAATAATTTTGGATGTGGAGCTTTTCAGATAGAGGAACAACCTCTAACAAAAATTTGAGTAAAATATCAAGTCATTGAGTTATCATCATCTAACAAAAAATCATTTGTAAGTGGTTAATTGGCTAATAAGCTTCCAGGTTACCAATGGCATGGAGTCGAGACAACGGGTTTGTTTTTTTGGTGTTTTTTTTGGAAACTGTAGAAGAGTGATAAATCAAGGAAAACATGTTTCAATTTCCTGCTGTAAATCATTATTAGTCACTTCAAACATCTTCCTTCTAGCCCTCTAACTTGCTTATAAGGACCCTTGCGGAGCACCGAAGTTCATTTGCAAGTACAACTCAAAAGGTTAACACAAGAGACCAGACAAGGCTTTCTGAGAAAGAAGCCCAGGGCTGGCAATGATAACCTGGATTTTGAAGAACAAGTGTGTTGAACATAACATTAAAAATACTGAAAATTATTTTCCTAAGTGGATGCCTTCAAGGGGGTAAATTATTATTATAAATGTATGTAGTAATTGTGAGAAACACTTAGGACATGAGAGAAAAGTTAGAGAGGTCACAGGCATTCCTACGAAACTAGTTTCGGGGGAAGGTCATTTTGTCTGAACTTAATGTAGAGCAGAGATCCGCAAAGAATGACAGAGATGTTTGCCAGATGTGTATCATATTACTTTTGAAGGATGGAAAGAGATCTTTAATCTTCAGGCTCATCACTAATTTAGTTATTTAATGAAGAAGCACAATTTTAACAATGAACAATTCATGCCTCATGGCGTCTGTAGTACATTCTGAGAATGACCTCCGAAAGTCAGATATAGGTTTAAAAGGCAATAGGATGTAAATCATTGGCTCTCAACCTTCCTAATGCCACGACCCTTTCATACAGTTCTTCATATTGTGGTGACCCCCCAACCATAAAATTATTTTCGTTGCTACTTCATCACTGTCATTTTGCTACTGTTATGAATCTGGCGGCCCCTGTGAAAGTGTCATTCGACCTCCAAAGTGGTCGCGACCCACAGGTTGAGAACCGGTGATGTAAATGATTTTTAAGGAGGAATCTGATTTCAGAGGGATGATGTTCTCTTTCTAAGATCAAATGGATGAGCTAAACAAAACAAAATACAAACTTGTTGCCTTTGAATCAATTCCAACTAGTGGAGACCCCGGGCATTACAGACGGGAACTGGTCCACCGGTTATCAAGTACACTCAACAAGATCACTGGGCCTTTTGTTGGTAGTATCGCGGGATTATAACCACCACAATATTAAGTACAAACAAACAACAAAATCGAAACTGAAAAGTCACACTAAAATTACATTTCAGAATGCCTGGATCATTTTTCCAATTCACAGAGCCTGACTTTTAAACAAATTCTGGTTGAAAACTAAGCTACATTTTCTCCTACAGTAACCACATACCTGAATGGAAGTGTGAATCTGGTTTCTCTATATCCTAATTTTCTAAGGATACTATACCAGAATATTATAAGTTAGATGGACTTAGAGAACAGAAATAATATATCTAGTAGGCTAGGAGTTTAGATTAGGGCATCATGCTCTGAGTCTGCTCTAGGGGAAACTGCGCCCTTGTCCCTTTCAATTTCTGACACCCTCAGGCATTTCTTGGGGTCCCTTCGATGTAGAACCATTTTCACGTGGCCTCTTCCCTCTGTTTTTCCATTTGAGTCCCCATCAAGTGGGATTGGGACGTTTCCTACTCTCTTGGGAATGCCTGTTAATAGGGTTTGCAGACTGATTTTTTTCCAAACAAGATATGTTAAAAAATACTGGGTTTGGGGATTCAACATAAATTTTTGAGAAGCATAATTCAATCCATAATATATTGTTTTCCATAAATCAGTTTACAATGGCTTACAACTGTTTATTGCTCACATAGTCAACATATGCTTCCAAGGGAGACCAACACGTTATCTTAATTCTCAACACGCCTTAGAGGAGATATCTGCTGTGTTTTAACTAGGCTTTCCCCGGTCAACTCTTTGCTATGTAACGTCTTAACGTCACATGTGTAGTTCATGCTATCTCCTAAGCCTTGAAATGGGCACTATGACACAGCATTCAGTGCTTTACAGTCTGTGGTTGTCCCATTCTCATCTTTCGTGTTTTAAGTGTTAATATAGCTTGTGTGGGACATGTTTGAACTTTTTTTTTTTTTTGCATTTCATACAAGTTCTTATGTCATTTAATTTAATTATTAATTTATTAAATATAGCTTTATTCAAAGACTACTTAAGTACCAGCCACCATGATATATGCTTGGCCTCTAATGGTGATCAGAAATAACCCTGCCCGTATTGGTACTAATGGTCTAATGGACAGGTAATATGGTGGAGTGAGTTTTCTTAATACAGCTCTTCTACCCAAGTCTCTGTAACTCCCACCAAAGTATTTGGGTGGGAGAGGATTGGTCAGATTTCATTACCACCCCCAAGCTAGTAGAGGAGTGGGCCATCTTAGAAACAGCAGTATAGAGGAGCAAGAATGGAAGGACAAGTTCAAGATTGCTGTCTGAAGTGGTGGAGGCCACTGAGACTGGACATGTCTTAGACTGTGGCAAGGAGACTAAGAGGCACAGCACTGAGACTAAGGAGTAACTTCTCCTTATCTGGCCCAAGACAGTGATGGGGTGATAGAGTGACAGGTAGATTAGCTTCCTGACCCATAGAGACAAAGGCCAAGGGATCACTTGGCTAAGAGACTGAGACCCAGAGGGAGAGACGTGGCTCCCAGTGGATGAGAGGCGGAGAACCAGAGAGAGAGTTAGCTGCTGGCAGAGAAGTGTTGCATGTTCACAAGAAAACCCTTAATAAACAGCCACTGTCTGTTGAGAACTTTGAGCCCGCTCGACGCTAAATGATAGACCATAACATATAATGTGGAACTGCTAAGCACAAACAACTTGACTACAAAGTGAAATTCAAGGTTCCTCTGGATCTTTGGGGAACAAAACAAAAGCAAAACACCTCTGGAAATCAAGTCTGAACACTGAAAAACAAAAAAACAATGTTTAAACCTTCCACATTGTGGGGATAAGGGGGAGAGGGGACGCCACAAATCATCACAGATAGGCGCAATTGTACAGTGAAAATAAATAAGGATTATAGTAAAGCCATAGAGAGCACGAGAGGTAAAAGATAGAGTCAAGTAATGGAGTCAGACACAATTCATGGTAACATTGTTCACCTCAGCCCTGCTTGATGGTCCTCATGGTGGGAACCTGGCCATGAGAGCTGGAGCAGCTTCAGGGACCAAGAACCAGGGAGCCTCCCCTGGCCCGAGAGCCAGAGAGGGCCCCAGGAAGCCAGGAACCAGGAGGGCTTCCCGGGTTCTGGAGAGAGCTTCTACTTTATTGCCAACCAAGCATTATATCACTTTAGGGGGACATGATTATAGAATCACACGTCACAGAAAGGGGCAGTACATTAGGCATACACATTGTAGGAAGGGGATCTATGATAGGCATAAGCGTAACAGGAAGGTATGAGCTAGGGGGGTGCCTATGGGAATGGGAAGGTCTAGGGGTATACATCTGACAAGATGGGCAGACCCTAGATTTACAATGGCAGCCTAATCTTGGTCATCCTTGGGCGGGTTTTACCTCTCTGGTGTCTCCTACAAGGAAACAGACAACTACATCCTTATCAGAAGGGAGTGGGCCCTACTTGTTGTGGGATAAACAGTGGTGTCTGCTTGGTCTAGACAGCTGATAACTCTCAGGGAGAATGACCTCCAGTCCACTCCTGATGACCTCCAAGTGTACAGTCATTCTCAAGCAGCTAAGTCTGGCATATATTTGGGGGAGACAACTTGGGAGAAATCCTTTTGTTTCCTATACCACATGACCAAGAACTTTCCATCTCAAGCAATACGGGTGACTGTCACTTCTTTAACAAATATGGGTTAGCTGAGCTTCATTTCTTCCACATCTAAAAACTAATTTCATTGAATTGCTTCACTTTTGTGATCACACTATATCCAAAGCAAGACAATTAGCCATCCTCAAAATCATTCAGCACAAGCCCAGATTCTATAACGAAGGCTCTCTCCAAATAGCTGGTTACTGAGATACTACAAGTTCTCTTTTCTTGTTGGTGTACAGTTTCACTAACTACAATGAGATAATGGTTTTAACAAATACAGTATTCCTGCTTGTCTTTGGCTGGAGGAAACCTATGGCAGACAGCTTAAGAAATAAAATATAACAATATAACAATGGTTATGCACATACAGGGAAATGTCAAAAGATAGTATATAATTTTCACATGAGTTTCCAATGTCAGCTTTTAATCATTTAAGCAATATTAAATGACATTATCGTGTCCTTAGAATAGTTTCACCAGCTTGCTTATTTGCCTTTGACTTTTAGTTCCATCATTTTAATTAACATATACATATATATATTTTAATGACATCTAGGAAGACATTTTTGTATTATGTCCATACATGCGATGCTTTCTTGGACATCACACAACGCAACACTTTCTGAGTTCAATGTGGTATCTATTGTGTATATGAAAGA